TCGGGAAAACAAGCACGTGCATATATTCTCTTCCTCCCGACCCCCCCCCCCAACGACCCCCCAACCCAACTGTTTCGGGACCCACGCCAGCGGTTTCGCGATGATTTAGGCTCTGTGCGGTTACCTTCTCCAGACAGTTTAGGAAGTGCTGAGTTATAAATATTCAACAGCACGTGGAAGCTCTGCCCAGGGGTGGGAGGCGCGCATGCGCGGCGCGCTCGAACTCTAGCCCCGGGTAGTGTGTGCGCTTACTTAAAAGCGAGGAACCTGGCTCGCTCGGTGCCATTGGAGAAGTCTGGCAGATCCTCGGTGCGGCCAAAACAAAAACAAAAAAAGCAGAGCGGGGCTTCTGAGCATGCGGTCTTATTTTGTTTTTCCAAGAACGCTCCTTAGAACGGAGAAAGGGAAGCCTTCCTTGGCCTTCCCCAGATTTCTTTTGTTTTCCTTTCGCTTCCTTTATTGGCCAAAGACCCAATCTGGAAAAATCAGCAGACGCCTTTGCGAAAGGGAGAGTTGGGTTTTTGTTTTGTTTTGTTTCTTGTCCTTTCGTTTCCTGCGATTTATTTTTATTTTTCCCCTTCTGTACCCATCCCCTTCGGCTCCATAAACACGCACGAAAAGCGAGCCCTCTCTTTCCCGCAAACGCGCGCGCGTCCCCAGGAAACAAACGGAACGGGAGTGACTTGCGTTAAAAATTAAACAAGGGCTTCTAGAAATTGGATGAAAGAAAGAGGTTGTTTAAATGTAAACATTCGAGGTGGGCGTGCGGTACTGACCTGCCTACCACGTACTGATGCAAATGTTTACTGCAGGCCCTAACATTGAATACACGTAAACGCCCGAAGAAATCCATAGCAAACACATGCTTAAGATTCTCACCGAAACAAGTGCGGCTTCCAATGGGCTTAATTTTACTCATCCGTGCCTAGCAAACTTTCCATTTCCGTGGTTTTTCAGACCGGCTTGGGCGGTGCTGCTGCTTTACAAGTGAGAATTGCCATACACACAAAGATCTCGTTGCCTGGGCTGATTCTCCTAAGGTATCTGCATAAAATGCGTGTGTGTTTATACACCTACCTTGCAATTAACTTGATTTACTATTATTCCAAAGCCCCTGTCCAATAGGGCCGTCATCTGGAAACTTCATGCTATTTTATTTTAGCATTCTAAAACTGAAATAAATGTTACCAATTGATGACAGCTTCCAGCTGCATGGTAAAAATAGCCCTCTGGTTTCACATGGCCGTGTTTCTTATTAAGCAAAGATGCAGCAGATCTGAATTACAGAACCTAGGAGAAAGGGACAGACTTAACACTGATTTTATCATGTCAAAGGAGATAGATAGATAGATAGATAGATAGATAGATAGATAGATAGATAGATAGATAGATAGATAGATAGATAGATAGATGATAGATAGATAGATGATA